CTCTGTGCATGCACTTGCAGTACAGACCTAGGCCAGGAGGAGGAGAATTTTGTGCAAACCTGCTTATAATGTGGAACAAAGCTGGGACTAGACATAGCAGTATTTTAAAGGGAACAGACTGCTTATGGTCCACAGAAGAAGCTGAAAGAAAGAACTGGCATCAGATAACAGTCTAGTGGGATGTTACTTTCTATCTGAATTTCTGAGCTTACCAGTGCAGTAACAAGTTCCAACTTTGTACCTGTGGAGCATCTTTGCCTGTAATGGGGACTTGGGCAAATGATCACTAGAGAATCCCACTTCAGGCTTCTGCCACAAGTAAAGCCCAATTATATTCATCCCACTTCCCTTCAACTCTTCAGTTAGCGGCTACTCAGCTTTCCCATTCCCTTACCTATCACAGCTGCTTTGTGGATGGGCTGAGGGGAAGCACTTTTCCACGAAGCTCCACTGGGTGTTGTCCACTTCTGTGTTGATCTTTCAGCAAAGAAAGCATACTGCAGTGCTTGTGCCTGGCCTGAGGTCAGCAGGATGTTAAACAGCTCTCGCTCCTTCCGGACTCCATCTGCAAAAGGCTGTTCTGTGGCAGCTCTGACTGCCTGGAAGCACAGCTCTGGAGCCAGACACCCATGGGCCCGTTTTTTCACCTTCAGAAGAGCTTCACGAAGAAATGCTTCCATGTTGGGCAGTTTTGGAACTGGCTTCAGGCTGAGCCTGCGGGGTCCCAGTGGCTGGCCTGGGGGTAGAAAAATTGAGTTACGGACCAAAACATCCAGATCTGGAAAACTACGGATGTTTAGGTGTTTCTACATAGACAGTTTGCCTCTTACTCATCAGCCCACTGCAATGGGGCCTGCACGGCACAGTGATATGGGTCTAGAACTAAAGTGTTTGTCATTCCTCTTTAGCCTTCTGTTTGCTGTGACAATTGCAATTTTTCAAGTCCTTTCTCAGACTTCAAAAAAAGCAAGATTTCAGTTTCAAACAAGTAATTCTCTCCTTTTTCTCAGCTATACAGAATGCCTCTACTCCAGATCTCTTACTGCGCAGTCCCAGCTGCTACATTCATATTGCTCTATTAGCTTCAGAACTAAAGTTTTCCTGCAGTATTGGTTAGTACTTTGTGCCAAATGGACTTTGCTAGCCAGATCCATTCCAGCCAGTGTCCTGACCCAGGCATTTATAAGAGACTGGGAAATAGACACTGACTTCAGGAGTCTTTCTGTTCACTTTGGGACTAACCAAGAGCTCACCTAGTGTGAGCTGGGGAGTAAATGAATAATAAGGGAGAGTTCATGCCTCTGTGTCAGCAAGGGGTGAATCAAGCAGCCACATAAATATGTGAGTCTCATTACAGACAGAGGTTGCTATGGTGATACCTAGAAAGGATTTTAATTGAGGGAAGTTAGTTACATTTCAGAGGCCAAAGTGTTCTCCATCTTCTTCAGAAGTGCAAACCTTGATGCCTGCTACAAGATCTCTGATCAGTCTATGCTCAGGCTGTAACTATGCTCGTAATGGCAGTTTGCCTCAGTAAAGACCATGGAGGAACAAGAGCAGAAATTCAGGATGTATCCCCTTAATATCCCAACATTTTCATAGAGACAATTTTGTCATCACAGCCACATCTGAACTGTGAACTGTGTAGCAGTGTTACTGCACTGACTGCTGCAGTGCTGCTCCCAGAAACACCCAGGACTGCCATCAAAGCAGAGTGCTGGATGGACCCCCCCAGTGAGAACCTTATGCTGAGAAGCTCTCTCCTGTACAGCCTCATTGCCCTAGCTTCTTAGAGGAGCTCTGCAACAGGAGCACACTTCCTTCAAAGGTGGCATATTGCATCCAGCTCCTTTTTCTTCCTATTGTCTGAATTAGGAAAGTTCCAGTATATCAGCAAAAGATTTGGGAGCAGGAAATCATACAGAGGATGCCGAAAAACTGGAATAATGTCAGCACTGCAATCATAGTTACTCAAAGAACATGTCCTGACCCTAGGTCTTCCTCCAAAACTGAGTTATGTTTGACAGAAACAGAAATATGAGTTTCCTAAATGAGCTGAGACACTGATTTCCTGAAATAATGGTCTTCAGAGCTCAGGCTTTTTAATCATGCCTTTTAGAGAACATAAATATGAACCCTCGCTGTGTAAGTAGCTTCCCTTTTAATCAGAGTTCATAAAAATGCTTTCACATTGACAGTGAATATAATTTGTATCCGCTACTGTTGCAGGATTTAGTCAGGATAACGTCCCTTCATTTTGGAATTCTTTGTTTCTCCCCTGAATTCATGTTTTTAACCCAGAAATGCTCTTTATCCACAGTCCTTTCTTTAGGACATAAATAGTGGGTTTCATTTCATCACAAGGAAACCTTGAGTTTATCCTAGAAAGCAGATCTCATGACTGGAAGGCCACTTAAGCCTGGACAGATCAAGGGCCTTCATAGGACATCTCTGATATGGAAAGGACCAGTAAAAAAGGAATACTACTGGGAGCCTTTAAGCTTTGTCTTCTGATAGTAAATACTGCTTGTAAGCACAAATAGTGATGGGAGACATGAGACAATTCCTCATGAAGAAAAGTAGCACTCCTCCAGGTCCTGTAATGCAACCCTTATTAGTTGCAAGCCAAATAAGGTTTTGCCAAGTATTTCTGCAGCATCTCCATGCAGTGTCTATGCTTCTGCAATCAAGACAATCAAGAGTCAAGGACATTTATGAATAGGAAAAAAATTATCTCTATCCAAATCTGGGAAGAAGAGATCAGTGTGGGACATGCGCAGCTTGATTGCTGAAATCAAAGCAGCAGGAATGTGAACAGTATCAAACATCTGTGCTGCAGGGAAAAGCATCATCCATGCACAGGAGCTAGCACAGACACCTGCTTTGTTTTACTAGGGCTTGTAGTCCAGATGTCACAAAGGGCAGATCAAGTCTGTAACATTTCTATCAGTGAAAGCAACATGTAAGCTATCAAATACTATACTATTTAAAGCAATAAACCACCCCCTCCCATTATCCCAGAGTTGTAAACCTTCGGGGTATTCTAGGACTTCCCATGCAAGAGACAGGGTTAGCCTAATGGTGGTCTTGGTGCAGTGAGCTGCTTGTTAATTTCAGAAACAAAGCTGAGACTGGACCCCTGCTCCTCAGGCTCAGAGTGGTCTCAGGCCTGAAGAGAACAGTCCAGTTTGTCAGACCTTTCACAAGCTCTGGTTGTGTCAAAGGGGCACTTTGCTACACCTTCAGGCTAAAGAAGGTGGCAGCCAGAATCATGAGCCCTGGAGAGAGATTAAAATGTCTTGTATTATGCATATCCCCTTGCAATGGTAACTGAAAGCCTTTCTCCATGAGGCTCCATTTAAATCATGCAGTTACCTAACAGCACTATCTGTTACTCCTTTGGATTCTATGAGGCTCAGAAGAAACACATGCTTCTTCCACAGTTACTCCTAGGTGGCTTACAGTAAGAAACTCAGTCATCTTTCCATGCACAGTTTAATACTCATGGGGCCTGAGCTAGTCTAAATTGAACTGATTTTCCTTGGCTCTCTGGTGCAAGCCATTGATACTTTTTTACACTGAGCAAGATGATAAAGGTCAATCAGCAGATGTGGTCAGAAAGCAAGGCATGATTATATATGAACAGAGAGCCTCAAAGAAGGGTGCTGTGTTGCAGATCATCAGCCAGTTTCTCCTCCAGCTGAGGAAGACTACAGAAAGAAAAGGTGGCCAGTGTAAGCTGGAAGCTACTGCCTACCATAAGCAATTACAGCAATTCTTCAATTTTGTGATGCCATCAGGTGGATAAATTCTGTAATGCAGCTTTGAATTAGAGCAGCAATTACCAAGCACATCCAATGAAAGAACATTCTCCTTGTCTCCAAGGATTTAGCTCCTGTCTATTCCTTCTAAAAAATGCCTTCAGAAGTGGAAAAAGTGAAGAGGCCAGTTGGCCTGAAGAAGGTCAGGAACATGTGCTTGCTTCCTATCTGCAATATATAATTACTGATTTTCAATGAAGAATTTCAATTAGAATTCATAATTGTCTTTGTGTATCCCTACAACCTCTTATTCAGGTTTGTTTACAAATTCCTTTTGAAGGTGTTCCTCATTAGGAACAACCTCTAAAAATGCAAGGATGAAGATGTTTTTCCCAGCATACCTACTGTAAAGGTAGCTCTGTCAACTGCGTATCAAACCAATAATCAAGGACCCTTGCTTTAGTAAGGCCAGTCAATTGAGCTGGCTCTCTTGCTATGAGATACTGCAGCTCCAGTGCTGAGAAAGATTTAGGAGAAAAGAATTTCTGAATTGACTCTCTGAGACTTCTCTTGCAGTACAGCCTTCCCAGGAATAGAAATTCCATTGGTTGACAAAGCCAGTTATTTAGCCAAACTGCTCTGCCAGCAGTTGTTAGCCTCCTGTTGAAAAAAGAAAGTAAGAGACACTTGGAAACAAAATGCTGCATGCCTACAAAGACAGTGGGCTTCTGTGATGGCTTTTTTTTTTTTTTTGTGCAACTCTGTGGTTACCCTAAGATTATCTGAAAAATGTTCAATCAAGCCAGAGCATAATGTGAACAAAACCCAGACCAGCTATGCAAGCCCGTAGTCTCTTCTGCTTGATGTAGAGAAAGAAAAGTGCTGGTTTGCATTTGTATGGCAGGAGATTAACTTTAGGCAAAGGCCAAAGCTAGGAATGAATCAAAAGGAACATACGGACTTTGGGTATAACATTCTTTCAAATCATCAGGTAACCTGAGGCTAAATTGTGAATCAAAACTTTTCATGGCCTTCTGCAAGGTCTAATGAGAAACTTTCCAGGCAGACTAGCTGACTTTCCAGCATTTTCACTATTAAAGCACATACTGCCAATTCCAGTAAAGCTTTTGGAAGGAGTCTGAAAGCATTTTAAAGTCCTGTTGGAGTTGGTATACAGTGTGATGTGAAACACCTTCAAGTGACATTACTCATTTTAACTAGAGTAACTCAAACCAGCAATAAACAGATATAAAAATTACCACTGATATTGAGTAAGACTGGGACAGGTCACCTGCTGAACATCCAGCTAGGATCCTTGAATGCTTATGCAAGTCTCAGAATCTTTTCTTGGTAGTGACAATTCTCAGTGAAGATGAAGCTACAGAAGAGGAATTTGCCAGTAGTGGTAGTGGGCATAAGTTCCATAAAGAAAGTTACACTGAGGAATAGTGATGATTCAACCCTGAGGCTGTCCTTTAAGGTCAAGCTGACTTTTGTAGCTGTCAGACACTGCACAATGTCACAGAAGAAATAAGCATACAAATGTCTAAATTTCACCCAATTTCACATGGCATTTGTTGAAATCCAGAGTTCTTGTTAGTTTGCAGCTCTAGCAATGTATCCATTACTCATTTTATGATATACTGCTGCTGCCATCAGTACTGGTACAGATCTTATGTAGGGCATCATTGAGAAGCCCAGAGGGTACATCAAAGGAAACACTGTTTGTTGGGTTCATTTGCCTAGAAGAGCAGCAATATTTCACTGCTCTCCCAACAGATGGAGAAACAGTTCTCATTCAAAATCAGTGAACCAAAGTAACTTTGTTTTTCCTAGAAGCCATAGTGAAGCATATGACTCATCTCTTTATAAAGAATTATATTTAAATAGTCTCAATATATATAAGGAAAGAGAAAAGAGGACTGCTTATGTCATCAAATCTGCACTAAAACTGAAGCCCCAAAATACCATGCAAGCATGTCATTGTGGCAGAGCTCCAGATGAAATCCTGATGGAAGTCAGTGGTCTGTTTCCAAAGGTACAAGGAAGGGTAGTAGTGGAAAAATATCCTGTTTCCTCTCAAAGTGATGCTCCTCATGTTGCACAAGGAATGCTCCTCTTCTTGTGTCAACTCCAGTGAATTTGATTTTGTAATTTCTAAGGGTGGGGTGATACCTTTCTCCGTAACCCTCCCATCTCCACAGGCCATTTTCTTACATAGCAGCTTAAGCATTAGGGACAGAGTCCCTTCTGGAATCATGGCTCTTTAAGTTGGGCTGAGGATGTGCTAGTCCCCTCACTCGAGGGAGAAAGTTATTTCTGATCAGCCATTATTGATGGTACAACCACAATACATGCAGTACCACCTGTGATTGAAACTATACATGGAAAGAACTCATACTGCAAATCAGTGGAGTGCAGCAACCCAGAGGGACATGTGAGTTTAGATATATAATCAAGAAGCAGGAGGACTTCATATATATCTATTTTCTGTATCCTCATTTGAATTCCTGCAGCTCTCCAGCATCTAATTTTTCCACTTCTGACAAAAGAAAACAAATTCTGCAATTAATTCTATCTTATATGGATGCCAAAACTCGGTGAATGGAGCATATAGATTGGAACAAACTGGTGAGCTTTGTTCTGAGTCTCTCTGTCCCTGAAACATTGTCAATTATTTCTTGGCATTGCTACAATTGTTTCCTCACCAATCACTTTGTTTGCCAAGCGAATTGCTGCCTCAACTGTGTTTTCTTCCACAATTTCATCAACCAAGCCCAGTTTCAGTGCTTCAGTTGCAGGAATATGTCTTCCTGTGATAAAAAGAGAAATAAGGTGACTACAGCGGGGCATGATGGGCAATTAATGTGTAGCTGGCTTCAAATATTAGACATGTTTATCAGGTACATAGAATGCATTACTAGCTACATGCCTCAGAAGCATGTGCATCCATCCCTTAGCCCATCATTAGTGGAAGCTGGCAGAATTTCAATCTAAGCAGCTACACAGATAGAAGAAATTCATGTTTCTTAGACCAAGCTGGTGGTATGACTCAGTGCTATATTCCTACATACAGAGCAAGGCTGAGGCACAGTAATTTACCTGTAGTGATTATATCCAGAGCAGCTGGTACCCCAATCAGTCTGGGAAGTCGCTGAGTGCCTTCAGCACCTGGAAGTAACCCAAGGGTGACCTCTGGTAAACCCAACTGTGCCTAAAATGTTAAATTCAGCAACAAATCTGATTAGAAAGAGTGTTCACTACAAACTGAGCAGAATAGAGGAAAGACAAGCAAATCTGATTCACACATCGTTCCTTTAGGAAACCTCAAAACTTCTACATAGAAATTTCATCCTTGCTTTTTGCCACAGAAGACATTTGTGTACCATTTCAACAACCTGTGTAAAAATGCACAGGAAAGACACCAATTTTCAGGGGATGTATGTGCGCTAGTGTGGCACTGGAGGACAGCTGTGGGGCCAGCAGCATCCCCCTGATTGACATGTGTAAACTAATACTTTCAAGTTATTACCAAATGCTGGTGAGCACTCTGATTTAACAATACCTCCCTTCTCTAATTCTTGGAAGTTTAGTAAAGGAAAATTGTTACTGAACCCTTCCCTAATCTTCCTTCAAGTGGTTCTTGGTGCACTTGACAGTTAGTAGGGTTATGCCAGAGAAGCTGGGGCAGCAGGAAGGGGGAGTCTTCTCTTAAAAATCTATCTAGATTTTGTTGCTTTGTTTAAAAAAAAAATAATAATAGTTTGCATATTTCCCATTGAGCTCCTAAGAGATGTGGAGTCATTTTAAGACCACTACTTGTGGTACCCACCTTGGATGGCATATAAGGTGATGCAGACTACCTCTTTATGCTATTACAGCAACCTACACTGTCACGGAGAAACAGTGATTTACATTGCAAGAGTGAGGGGCTGGCCCTATCAGTGAAGAGTCTCTACAGGGATACCATGAACTGCTAAAAGGCAGCTCAGCATTCTCGAATCTTGAATGAAGGGATTCAAGAAAACAAACCCCCCCAAAATGGTTCATTCCTCAAAAGACTTGTAAAACTGTCTTTCGGTCAGAGTGCTCCTTGAGGGCCTAGAGCCTGGAGGAATCAAACTGTAAATGCCGTGTGCTTGCTGTTCCAATTACCTATTGAAACTAGGCCACCAGCAGAAAGAAATGCAAAATTCACACGGCTGGGCTAAATAAATAAGTAAGAGAAAGTCACACTGTATGAGCCAGTTCTTACTGGCCATCTAAATCATAACATAGACAATAACTCCTGAGACCTAGGGCAACTTAAGACTCAGTTGCTGGAGTTTCTATGCTGCCATCTTACCGTATTAGTTACAGATCAGTTTTATATTTAGAAATGACTTGAAGTTAGTTATATAGTAAAGCATGTCAAAGGGGTGCTGTAGGTGAAGAACGTCTGACCATGCAGAACTATATCCTGTTGCTATAAAGCTCCACTTCTCCAGGCAGATGATCCCAGGAAAGGTATGCTGCCCCACCCTGTTCACAGCCATATGTACATGGCTCCCGATGCCTTCACCAGCCTCTCTATTTCACAGTGTGTGTTACCTTCACATGTGCAATCCGATAGTGACAGCCAAGTGTTATCTCCAGGCCTCCTCCCAAGGCAATGCCTTCGATGGCAGCCACCACAGGCTTCTCACTCCTTTCTATGAGAGATACAAGGGGGGCCAAGACAGTACCACGGCTCTTTGGAGAAGAAAATCCTCGAATGTCAGCTCCTAAATTAGAATAGAGACATTGCGAGGAATTAATGTGCAAGGCAGTGACTGGAACGGTCTGGCCCTCTGTGTAATCAGACATAGTTGCTCGCAGATGATCAAGTCCTTGCAAAGAAGGCTGTTGGCAGGTGTGTGATTAACAGGAATCAGCCCCTTTTGGGACCACCTTCAAGAAACCCTAGCTTCTTGAGCCAGCTTGTTATGTGCCCCATGTCAATTGTGGCACAGCAGAATAGAAAAAGCCCACTTTCCTGTGGTCATTTCCAGCCAAATCTGGACTTCTATCAGCAGTGTTATGAGGCAAAGAATCTTCAGACAAAGAATCTTCCGTGGGTTTCTCCTCTTTTTCTCAGGCTGTATTTGATGGAGAATGTTTTACCTGCACTGAATTTCCCATTTTCGCCACAAATCATAACAGCTTTCACTGAAGGATCTGCATCTGCTTTCTTCAGGCCATCCTCTAATGCCTGGAGAACTGTCAAGCTGAAAGAAATCAGAGATTCAGTGAGTAACAGTTGAGTACCTTACCCTTCCAAGAGGTCTGTCATAAACACCATTCCAGTGAAAATGAGCTGTATGTCCAAGCATATCTCCCCCATAGCCTGCCTTCTGCCACAGTCTCTCTGTGTGAATCCTTTCATTAGTTCCCCACTTACTTTATAGCCAAGTGCCAAAATCCAGCAAGTCTATGACTGCTGACCTGTCATTTACCTCCTGAAGGGTCATCTTCTGACTATGACATTGCTGTTTCAAAAGTAAGCAGCACAGGGAAATGATATTTTGAAAATATCTTTATGAATTAAACATTTAGATTTTCAGGAAAACAGTTTAGCATAATTTAAAATTAATTAATGCAAAACCACTAACAATCTAAGACTTTTTTAAAAAGGGAAAGAAGCTCCAGGGATAAAAGGCTATCTTTCAAACACCTTACACAGAGTTGGTGCTATGCCGATGATCATAATGCTTTCACCTTGTGGATCTGCTTATAGGTCCGGACTTCTAGTTGTGTGGGATCTTGACAAAGTGAATTTGGGCCTAAAACACTACATAAAATGTCTTCTTTTGTCTCACTGAATACATTTCCACAGACACAAGAAGTGAATATGGCCAGCAAAGAATTAACAAGTTCAAAATAGAACAATAAAAGTATAAATAGTATTTTTACAGATCAGCTATTCAAAAAATCTGACCTGACTTCATGCTCACCTCACTTTTGAAGCTTAGAAACTAACTGATATGTACATGTGTGGAATAGATGGACATGGAGAGTATAGCCTGTTTTAGAAGACAGTGACAATAAGGAAGATGGTAGGTAAAACCAGAAGCATTAAGACCTAACACTTTATTAGTAGCAATATTAATGCAAATTGTGTGTATATCATAAACACTTGTAAGTATGTAAGTGTATATATAGTTTGTGAGATTTTTCTGTGTGCACGTATGTATAAATACTATATACGTAGATCTGATTCAGAAAATCCAAGCCACAAGGAGTTAGAAGCTGTGGAATATCACTGATGCTTGCCAGTCCTTTATAAATACAGCTTCTGTTCTTACATCTTCTGCAAACCATAAGCCCAGCTTCACATGTAAGGTTGGTAGCTGATGCAAAGGGAGCAGAGTTCTGTTGATGCCCAGTGGAAGGAGAAGTGTTAATTAAAATGAACTGATAGGAAGGCCTGACATATATTTAGTTTGTGCATGATTTTAATATGTCTGAAGGCATTTAATCTAAAAAGGAAGCTTGTCATGAATTAGATAAAAAAACCATCACTGTACCTAAGTGTAATGCTTCTAGGAGTGTCCAGGGTGGGTTACCACATATTTGCACATACGTATGTGCAAAAGCTCACAGCATTTAAGTGGAAATCCACAGACTGAAAAGGAAAATCTAGGGAGCCTGAGAAATTTCCTGTAAGCCAGCTGAGTTGGATCCTGCCAGACAACATCTGCATATTCCCCCTTCAAAATCAAAAATGAAGGGAAGCTGTTAGCAAAGTCTATTAATCAAGGCTGTTGGCTATAGGGAGGTATTCAGCATCAGCTGCTGCCTGGTTAAGGCCGTGCTACACAGAAGGATCAGTGGGAGCTCTGAGACCTGACAGCTAGAGACTGAGAGAAGTGGTGTTATTATTAAACAGGGGAAGATTAGATTGGATATAAAGAGGAAGTTCTTTACTGTGAAGGTGGTGAAGCACTGTAATGGGTTGCCCAGGGAAGCTGTGAATGCTCCATCCCTGGCAGTGTTCTAGGCCAGGTTGGACAGAGCCTTGGGTGAGATGGTTTAGTGTGAGGTGTCCCCGTCCATGGCAGGCAGATTGGAACTAGATGATTTTAAGGTCTTTTCCAACCCTAACTATTCTATGATTCTATGTATCAACTGCTTCATCCAGACATCAAAGACAACTCTGAGGTCTAGCATTAGTAATAGTTCTGAAAGCTGAAACTTAAAATGAGACTAATTTGGCCATGACAAAGAAAAACTGTTAGGTGACCTGGTAAAGGTCCTTCCAGTGCATATAGTTCTGTGTAACAGAATATGAAAACCTTTCCAATTCTAATATATGGTTTCATATTCTGTGGGAGAAAAAAATACGTATTAAGATTTTGGATTTTATCTCCCTTTGGAATATCAAGTGCAGTGACTGCTGCTATTTGACGAGGACCCACAGGCTGCATCCAGTGCTTGCTGCTCTTAGAGGTCTATTTTTGCACCAGTGGAGGGCCAGCCCCAGAAATACCAAGTTCACCTAGAGGCTGGAAGCTTAATGGGAAAACCATTATGAAATGTCATTACACTTTACAAAACATGGTGCAAAGGGGTGGGGGTGGGGGAATCTGTACCAGGATTCCAAACAAATTAAATTACTGATTTGAAAATATTATGTAGAAAGATGGCATAATTCTGTCAGGAACAGCCAGGAAGCAATAATC